AAGGCCCGCATGATAATGAAAAATGTTCATTAAATATTCAGCGTTTAGCAGAGCTGTTTGAAAACACTGATGCAAAAGGTTGTAGATTTTCTGCCGGGTAGCGCTTTTGATATTCCACCATTGACTGAAAAAAATGCACGGATAAAACCACGGAAGAAACAATTATAACAGCGTACGGTGTAACGGTAAAATGGTGCACTGTGTATACTGTAGGGGTTACGGTCATGAAAACGGATTGCAAGCAGCAGCTTTCTTCACAGTTACCAGCAGCTGTTGGGTGACAATGAGACAAGCTGAAGCTTAAGTATGGAGGAGGGAGTTTCCTCCTTGAGTTGCTTGAATGCCTGCAGAATCAACACCGTCGGTTGGTGAATTTGAATTTTGTGTGGGTGCACAGCTTGTTTTTGTTTTAGAGTTTGAGGAGATTGACTTGTTTTCAATCCGTGTATCATCTCCTCCCACCTCCCATTTTCAATTTGCAAATGGAAAATGAAAAAGTGACTCAATCCCTGCACAAAATCACTTGCCACACCAGCAGCAGTGACCCATTTAAATAAGGTGCATTGATTGGCCACCAGTTATCACCATTCGTCAAACTGATGTAGAAATACATATACAGTGTGAATCTACATCCTCTCTCTCTCTCTCTCTCTCCATATATATATATATATATATATATATATATATATATATATATGTGGGTGGCACCGTCTGAATACAGCCCCAGCCTTCCTGTGTGGAGTTTGTATGTTCTCAGCATGCCAACATGGGTTTTCTCCGGGTACTCCAGTCTCCTCCCACATTCCAAAAACAATCATGGTAGATTGATTGAATGCTCTAAATTGTCCCTAGGTGTGATTGTGAGTGTGATTGGTTGTTGGTCTCTGTGTGCCCTGCAATTGGCTGGCAACCGGTTCAGGGTGTCCCCTGCCTACTGCCCGAAGAGACACACACGCTTATTCACAAACCGTTTGCCCCCAAAATTACCCGTTGCTTCCATGTGGATAAATGTACAGAATTTTGTCAGTCATTATCTCGAGTTACATTGCACAACAAGCACCATAACACATTTACAGACAAACATTTCACCAGCCCAAAGCACTGCAAAGTGGCCTTTTAGAGTGATTTCTGCACACAGGACAAAATTACATTCAACCACTTCAAATATATAACGTAATTCCTCTATTTCCCAAATTCCTTTTTCCTAACAGAGTGCCATCAAAACCACTCTGCCTTGTAAATCGAATAGAATGCTGAGCTTTTAATCTTTGGTGCGTACAAAGACTGAACATATAAAAAGTGAAAAAAAAAAAAACAGTAGTAGAACTTCATTGAGGGCCATTTGTAAAAGGACAGGTAATTTCAGAACATAAAATGGAAAATCTGATCAGTTTCCAGAGAGCACCAGTTGGATGGAACACCAATTCACCGTATTTTATCATTCTTTGGATAGAACTTGGGACGTGTAAAACTGAGCTGATCTGTAGACCACTACAATACAACATGACATTTTAAGAGGCGCTGCTCAATAGAAGAGGCAAAGTAAAATCAGAGGAAAGGAGGAAGCACTCTGCCCTGTCAAGACATCCTGGAGGGCAGATCGTATCAGCCATACGGGAAGTGCTCCTCATGTAGGTGATGCGCCATCACGTCAGACTCAGGGGAATTGGGGAGAGTGCTACTTTCTGCTACACAGTTGCACTCTCCAATTCAGCAGAGACCCAAGTACAGCGGGGATCAGTGGTCCCTCCCCATTCAAGGGCAACGACTACTTTTTACATTGACATTTTCACATTAGAGGTCACCACATCTGCTTTCACGCGCTTGTGTGTCCAGAAACAACAAGAAACAACGGATCAAATGCCATTTATTATCGAAAAAGTTTGCTTTTGAAAAGGGGACAGCTGATATTTTCTTTTTTTATTTACATATTTTGACATAAAATGATGACATTCAAATACATGCTTATGCTAATTTATTTTAACCGACAAAACTGCTTGAACATAAAGGTTCCTCATACAGTGTTTGACTGTTTTTATTTAGTCAACCAAAAACGACTAAATGGGAAAGGCTTTATTTTTAGAGTAGTACGGATAAGCAGAGGTCATGGGTTTGATCCCCGTTCCGCCCTTCCTGAGTGGGGTTTGCATGTTCTCCCCGTGCTTGCGTGGGTTTTCTCCGGGTACTCCGTTTTCCTCTCACATTCCAAAAACCTGCATGGAACACTCTATATTGTCCCTTGGTGTTATTGTGAGTGCAAATGGTTGTTCGTCTCTGTGTGCCCTGCGATTGGCTGGCAACCAGTTCAGGGTGTCCCCCGCCTACTGCCCGAAGACAGCTGGGATAGGCTCCGGCACCCTCTGCGACCCATGTGAGGATAAAGCGGATCAGAAAATGGATGGATCGTATGATAATTTTCTTTCAATTAAATATAATCTGCTTGGTACTTGTGCTTTCTACCTGTTTTTTTTTTCTGAGATCAAAAATGAGCTCGCCATTTGCCGAAAGAGGACTTGTAAATAAAACTACAGAAAATACAACAATGCAATAATCAGCACAATTATCTGTGCTCTCACAAAGAAATTCAAGATTTTCCACTCCAGATATGTGGGAGAGCCTGTACAGTCTTCTCTGGTGTACTCGCCTCTTTTAAAAGCATACACACTGGCTTCTGCAGGGCTAAGGCGCCACCCTCAGTAAAGGTCATGGGCGACCATGATAGATGGTCGCGGCCGTGGATTTAATTTAAAATAAAGAGCAATAAACACAGGGCTTGCACTGGTGGCAAAGGAGAATGATGAAGGATCCATTAGTTAAGAAAAGGTTGCAGGCTCCTCCCCTGAGAGCGACTGTCACCGTGGCGTCACAAACGGTGACAAGAGGGGGACAAAGAGGGTCACAAGGCGACATCAGCTCGACACAAGTTCTTTTCTGTCACAGCTGTCGTGTTTATCAGCCGCGTTCATCGCGGGGAGTACTTTGAGGCAGGTACCAAGATAAGGGAGTCACTGAAAAGGATGCAGCCCCAGGACGCTATGTACAGTGTGGCACCAAATGGGGTACACTTTCACATTTTTTTATAAATTAGCCGCTTTTGATGCCCCTGCAAAGGAATGTTTACCAACTCGACACTTCCCTATCCCAACTAGATGCCCCTTAAGCAGGCCCGTCAACAAACCTTTTTTTCCCAGATACCTATCGAATTCTTTGCCATGAGGTGCCATATTGACCATCCGAGTGTGGGAGTGGCAGCACCAAATTTAACACACCTGCTCCCCATTCAAACCTTGAACATGAACAAGTCACATGACACATTGGACGGGAATGCTAATTGGTCCCAATTCGGACATTTTCACTCAGAGGTGTTCTCACTTTTGTTGCCAGTGAAACGATAGACTTTATTGGTTGAGCTATTTTGGAAAGAGAGGACTAAATTTACTTTTACACATGCTGTACACTGACTACTTCACACTGTGGAAAAGTGTTATTTCCTTTGCGGTGTCCCTTGAAGATATACAGTGTAATAAAATTCTTGCAAAAATGGTTTGCTCATTTTTATGTGATACGATGTGTCCTTATGATTTGTGAGATATTGAGCATCGTGATGATTCATAGATTGGGATGAGCTTGAATACTGGTTCATTGTCATGCATTGAATGTCATGTAAGATCATCTTTTTTTTGTTTTTTTGTCCCCAGTAACACAATCAATGTTATACAGGGGAGCACGCAAATAAGAATATACAGTCAGCATAATAATTTTTCACAAGATCAGCCTCAGTATAATTTGTCTGCCTGTCTGTGGTCTTTCACCTTATTACAAACAATAGCACAGAAAACCTCTGTTGCACAAGGACAATTTGCTGCTTTCTAACACAAGGCCACAAATGGTGTTTAATTGGTACCATCAGCCAAAATTGTGACAGCGTAATGTATTTGGCCAACGAGCCAAACTAATGACTGCCATCAAATATAATTTCAGTTTTAGGCCATGCTTATCTCAGTGGAGCCCAATTCATTTCGTGTCACCTTTTAAGTCGAGGCGTTTGGCAAAGCCACATGGGCCAATGGCAACACGAGTGAAGGGTATCACTTATTGGTCCTGCTGATTACCTCGTGATGGAGTTTAAGTTTATTTTCAGTTTGCATATGAGGCAAAATTTTGCAACGGAAAGGGGATAATTGGGAGCGGTGAGATGGCCAAGGCCAAGTGATTAAGGAAATCTATAATCTAACATTTTCTGAAAAAGTGTTCGGTGTAGACACCCATATCACATGTAATGACATAAATCACATTTAATGACATAATACCTCTTGTTGGCCCAAATGTTCAATAAATGTTGAGTATTTTCCGCTCTATAAGGCACTTGGGAGTCGAAGGCGAACCTTCAATGAATGGCCTATTTTAAAACTGTTGTCATATATAGGCTGCACCACATTATAAGGCGCATAGAATAGAAGATACAATCGTGGTTGTGTTACGCATCCACTAGATAGAGCGACGCTAAAGGGAATACAATACAATATAATAAAGCTTTATTAATATCGAGCTTTGACAACCGCTGCAGCTGCAACAACGCGCTTTACGGAACATTTCAAATAGTTCATCCAAGAAATCAGAATATTGATCCACATATAAGGCGCATCAGATTATAAGGCGCACCGTCAGCTTTTGAGAAAATTGAATGTTTTTAGGTGTGCCTTATAGTGCGAAAAATACGGTACATTACTCAAAATTGCTATTGATACATTATTACTTATATTTGTCATATTTGTCGAAAGGGAATACAAAATCCAACAAAATTGCTACCGCTATTTCATATGTGAGGTTGGTAAAGGGTTAACAAAAGGTTTAATAATCAGTCAAGTGGATAGTTGCATTTTCAAAGGTGTTATACAAAATATTTTGTCCTTAATATTGGAAAGGAAATACATGGCAAACAGATCCTAATTGAACATAGTTGTACCTTTTCACAAACAAACACGAGCATACAGACCGGATTTCATTGATGCATTGCAGACATTCATTTCGCTCTTTTGCTTTTTGGACTTTCATTCGTCGGATGGCTTTTCAGCATCACCCACACACAAGCGGCCATGCCTGATGATAACAGGCGCTTCAGGAGTCATTTGCTAAAAAGCTTTATGCAAATTGTAATTAGCGGTAATTAAAACCCAGCCGGCCTTGAATGACTGCTGTGGTATTAGTGCATTATTTACAGAATGTAATTGAATCTAACGTGTCAATTCAGCAGGAGATCCGAGATGGGACAAGGAATGGGGAAAATTCACAATTATCATTTCTTAAATATCATGGCAACGTCATGGTAGAATTTCTTTTGAATGTGTACCAATTAACTTTTGGAAACAATGGTCTGATTTTTTTTTCAAGATCAACATTATGAAGAAGAGATGTTAATTGATGTCACGCTGGTCGAACGTTATATGAGCATGAATATACAAAGTTGGTGCCGTTATCACCTCCTGACCTGTAGACCCTGCAGTGAAAGATCAAGCCAGATCCAGGTTTACAATTCCATACTATACTGTGATAAAGTGAGTGGCTTAGACCTCTGGACACTTGGTTTATGATTTCACTTGAACAATAAGTCATCCTAAAGGGATTGTTGTTTTTTTTATAGTCCTGCACCCCAGCACAGTTATAGTATACTGTTGACTTTGTCACATCTGACGGGCTTATAGTCATCAAAATCGTATACGTCTTACTGGATTTTATGACACAGAAATGACCTGAAACTGTGAAAAATTTGGCCAGTTTACAGAGGTTAATGTTGGTAAGTTGATACCTTTCACAATCAAGCTGTCATCTGTCGTACTGGCAACCACTGTCGAACATATACCTTCAATGATTTGCCAGATCGATTTTTTTTTTTTCTGAAAGACAACTCATACTCTTTTTTTTTTAAGCACACAACTCTGAACCACATGACTACACATAGCATGTAGGGATAGAAGATGCATGATGATACAGAAAAGTACAATCACACACATATTGTTCGCCTCGCAACATAATTGCTTAAGTCATTTTTAATGTTACTTAAGTCGTGTGCTTGTTAGAAATTCTGTTTTTGCTGGTTTTCCGAAATTGTTGAAATATGACTAACTATTGTTAGTCTCATAATAGGCAGCACAATTGAGATTCAGTTTTACTTATTTTGTCATCCGAATGGATGCCGTAAGTAAGATCAAATAAAAAGCTGTAAACAGATGTAAGAAAAACAATAATATGAAACAAAATAAAACACCATATAACTGGATTCCAAACCCTAAACCTATATGGCAATTGTACAACTTGTGCAAAACATGATTGCGCACATTATCATAAAGGAAAGTTGACTAGGGGGAGCATCATAAGCACACTCGTACTCCTGTCAGCTGTTTAGAAGTCAGATGGCAGTGGCAAAGAAAGTTATTCAATCTGGTAGTCATACATTTCACACTTTTGTATCTCGGACCTGGGGTTGGTGAAGAGCCCGTGCTGGGGTCTTTGATGATGTCGGCAGTCCTCCTTTCAGTCGATGCTCTGTTGGCAGTCGTGGAGATTTGTCATCAGATTTCACCATTCTCGGCAGGCTTCTGCAGCGCACAGCAGTGGTACCACACAGTGATGCAGCTGCTCAAGATGCTCTCTGCAATGTTTCTGCAGAAGTTGTGGAGCGACAGACTAAACTTCTACCTGAGGAAGTATCGCTGCTGTTGAGTCTTTTTATCAAAATGTGTCATGTAAGGATTAGGATTAGTGTCCAGATAATGTCCTCACCGATGTGGGTGCCCAAGTGTTTGAAGCTACGCCCTTTTCCACTTCAAGCCTCCAGATCAATGGTGGCCTCCTCCCTTTCCTCATATCCACTGAATCTCCTTTGTCTTGTTTGTGTTCTCCCACCATGACATCAGACTACTGTAGTACCTCCATCCTGTAAACTGCTTCCTCCCTGCCAGTATACAATCCTAAACTGTGGTGTCATCAAATTTCTGATGTCTTTGCAAGATAACACAGAACAAGGTATAAAGCAGGGCTCTTCAGTCCTGTTCCTCGAGGGCCGCTGTCCTGCCTATTTTCCACCTCTCCCTGCTGCAATATTTGAATCAGATGTGAGGCAGCAGAGAGACATATAAAACATCCAGCAAACTAGCCATCGAGGAATACGATTGACGAATCCTGGCGTAAAGGATGGGGCTGAGGACACATCCTTGTGGTGTGCCTGCATTTGTGATGATGCTGGCTGAGATCCTTTTACCAAATTTGACAGATCGTGGCTTGTGTGATTATATGCACCAATTTGGCATTCGATATTTTCCTCACAAAAAAAAAAAAAACAGTTGAACCTTGATGTCCGGCATTTTCTTACTCCAAAAATTCCAGGATGGAACTTAACTTGACCCGAATGTAACAGACACCCCACCCAATTGTTCATCCTTTACCCCTTGTTGCCCATCTTTTGGTCAACAGTGTCTAAATGAGATTAAACCATCTGCCTGAATTGACTCAAGATGTAATGAAAGAAGCCAAGAACTTATCTGCTGCTGCACATGTAAGATGACAAAGGGGGGCGGGGCGAGAGTGAAGAAAAATGCTTGAGAGTAAATACCGTGTAGAGAAGCGTGCAGCAACCTCCTCTTGATGGCCCAGCTCACAGCAGGAAATGATGATTGCAGAATGGAATTCGGCTACAAGGAGAATGAAAAGAGAATGAAGAGAGATGAGCACTTGCTATTGCTCTGCACATTAGTGCACCAAACTCCAGGCATTTTATCTCTTGGGGTAGGGGTGCACACCACATTATCCACTTTAATTTTCACTTAATTAAGACACATTTGAATTTGGCTTTAAAGCGGGCTACAATGAACAAAGCTTTGCATAGATTTGCTGAAGACAAAAAAAAAAAAAAAAACACTTGCCGGTAAATGTATCAATGACAAAGATTGGGTTATTCTATTGTGCAAAATTATACTGCTGTTTCCTCAAATAGAGGATGGATACTAAGTGCTCTTTTCAAATAAGGCATTTAGTCAATAGGCGGTCTGGATATGCATGAATGCTTGTCTAACAACGGAGCAATTCATGCTCTATTTTGAAGATTGGCTAACCTAGAATTATCACGATGGATATGAAATCTGTAAATAGATCCCATTCTCCATTTCTTTTGTCCTGTATTCCTAATTTGTTTCAAGCATTCAATCCGGTTGGAGGACTAATTGTCCTCGAATTCAGTTTTCTCACCTTCACTGGTTGAACAGTGTGAATAAAGCAGACAAGCAGAAGCGCCCTGGTACTGTTACAAGCAAAGCACAATGAGAAACACGCATTTTTTTATTTTTTAACAAATAATATTGGGTACATTTCATTTTGTAAAATGACTGACTAAATAAAGAAATAAACAATCCGTACTCATCAATAAATAAAATGCTAAGAACAATTAGTTTAGTTTTCACAAAGATTTCATTCCCTGAAAAATCCTTGCATATTTCACAAGGTGCTGATTTATTCAACGGCGCTGAGCCCAACAGATGCTAGCTGGTGGACGCACACGCTGACAAGGGAGTGGATGTGGTTATTGACATCTCTATCAGGCTACGACACATAAGGCATCATCTGCTCACTTGCGTGTGTAATACCGGCAGCTAGAATAATAATGGCTGTCAGCCATCGGTGTGTATCTCGCATCAGGAACTGCTGGACCGTGACAGGCCATAATGTATTGCGCTGGTTTGGCTTGCATATTTCCCTAAAAATGGAAGGTCGGCAGAGCTTGAGCGGTACTTATCAAACCCAAACCTGCTCTGAAGAAGGTGATATGCACACTCTTTGACACGACGGCTGCTAATGATGCACACGCCGCACTGGGTTTGCACTCGCTCAATTCACTGGGATGCCACAGCAAGGGCTTCACTTCATGGATGACAGAAAGTTGGGGTTACAATGAGGCTTCATGCACATTTCACTCTTTCCTGATAGGCATGAGACAACCGCATTAAAAATGTAAAGGTGACTGGTTACAGATGGACGTTTTATACATAATTGGATGTAAGGGATCTCAATAGCCACAATAGACAAAACCGCTGCTTAAGATGCAAACATTTTTGGCCCTAGGCTTTGCCAGTTGCTTGTACGCAATCCACCCATAGATTTTCCATCTACATTAACGAAGCATGACTCTTTAACTGAACTACGCATGACCTTTTCACTGTCTATTAAAGCCCTCTATTGGTGGGAAGTGGATACTGCAATCAACGATATCCCGGCAGGGGGTCGCCACATCGATGTTATGCATCTTTTTACACGTGATGCCCTTCCTGATGCCACCCCCCCCCATTTTTTTTTTTAATCTGGGTTTTTGGAATCGTGGCTGGAATTTGGAGTCCAGCATCCGCTAGCATGTTACTGCTAGCATCACTAGTTGGCGCATACTGTACCGTGTTTGTGGACGAGAGAGTTGCAAATAGAAGCTAATTTGTGTTAGAAATGCAAGAACGCTAATTTACTGTAGTTTAGCATAATTTGCTGTCTGCAGACAAAGATACACGTCCATTAGCAACACGTTGCTAAAAAGAGATTACCTGTGACTTTTAAGGGAGGAGATTATTGTGGGGAAAATGTGTCCCAAAAAAAAAAAAACTGTGAAATTGCAGGCCAGCGTAATATTCATGCCTGGCAATCCATCCGATAACTCACTCACTCAACTGAATAGTTGATAGGATTACCGATTTGAAAAATAATTAAAAGTGACAACCCTTCACTGTATACAAAACAACACCTGAAAAAAACCCATGCATATTTTGGTTTGAAATTTCCAGAAATATTATTTAACATAATGTATATTACAGTTTCTATTTGCAACGTAGAAGTGTTGAAATACTTCTGAATGTAAATGAAATGTTGTGCACACCCCATTTAGCCAATTAGTGACACCTTTCAATATGATTTGTTTGCTCCGTCTTGGACCACTGCTTGCCTAATCCATAATGAAGTGTGCTAGCGGAATGTATGCACTGTGCACAGAAATAAAGCAATAGGCTCTCGCATATGAAGAATTGTGAAAATGTGTAATTGTTATTCATGAAAAATACAATGTGGCAAAGTCGCCATTTCCTTGCTACAGTGGGAACGAAAATAAAACCTGAGTTGCTTTATTAGCAGCCCAAGGGGAACGTCGCTCCCTTCAATGAATATGATTTGGCATATCCCCACCCCACGTCTTCAATAATTTACAGTATTGATTCGAAACAAAGTCCATACACTGTGAGGTGCACACTGCTCCCATTTATTGGTCTAGTGATCTGTGGCTTGTGATTTTGTACACAAAGAGACATAGTACGTGTCGATGTGCTGGTCCTGTGGGGAAGTGTCGTGACATCGGAATATGTCTGGGTGAAAGAGGGACTGAAAAGAAAGATGATGTTCGACACCTATACGTCACCCGTGACATCCTGATAGCGCCACAGAGGCGTGATGGAACGTATCATGGGCCAAATAAACACACCATTAAAAGGAAACCTCTTAATACACCTTTTTTTGAGAGGTCCTTCACATTATTAATGGTATCACCCGCTTTTTTTGACACTTTCAATCAATTACAGATTGTATCCAGGTGATTTAATTCGATTTTTGTGTTGCAGTGGAGCGATTTTGGGATACTCGGCATTAATCAAAGAATTATGCGGAGCGAAACGCAGGGGAGGCCTGTTGTCACTATTACAGCCAAATCAATCAGAAGCCGCTGAGACCCATTCTCAACATGCAGGCCATTTTTATTCGCTTGATATGTGTGTGTGTGTGTGTCTTGGGGGGGGTCTCTATCTGCACCAGACACACCAGCGACAAAAGGCATTTCTGTCTTTTTTTTTTTAACACATGGGGCATATTAGAAGCACAGAGAGGCACTTTTAAACCTATCATTTCAATTTACCCTTCAAGCGAATGCATGAAGACATTTATGCCTTTTTTTTTTTTTTTTTTTTTACAAATAGCACACCATCAACCATACTGATGAGCTATGGAACAGAACAAGTTATCGTGGTAAACCCTTTCAACCCGTGAATTAAAGTCATCATTCAACTTTTATGGCTCTCACTCCTCTTTTTGCCGCAAAAGAAGTCATCGTCTAAGACTCACTCCAAGGTCTCTGTGGTCATATCGAGAGCATTGTGCCTCATTTCTATGATCTGACTGGCCGTTCCATCACATGGTCTTCAGGCAGGATGCATCAAGGCAATGAAACTGATTAAAGAACAATAAAGCAACAGGCAACAGTGTTGTATGTTGACATTATCCATGTCCAAATATGCATTTACACGGCATACGTATCTTAGAAAAGAAGGGAATGAAAGAGTATAAAAGTACAGTTTCAATTTGGTGAGGGAAACTAAATGGCTGATTGGTCAATTCTTCTTTAATTTCAGTGAGACTGGAGAATCTCTGAATGTTCTGGACTCCGTTCTCAATGCTCGTGTAGCATCAAGAAGAAGAATGCCGCCATAACGGTCCCACCACGAATAGATAGATAGCAAACTTTAGTCAAGTGGCAATTCTCAATTTCTTTCATCTCTTAGTGAGTGGAAGCAGAAGCTTCTTCTCAGTGCCGCCGCACGGCAAATCATATGGAAAGCCGCGACTGTCTCGAGGTCGAGCAGCTACAATCCCCTTTACATCAGACGCCATTCACACATCCGCATCAGGAGCACACGCGCATACTTCACTAAGATGAGGAAATGAGGGGAATAAATAATTAAGTCTAAGCGCTGCCTATCCGCCCCTCTCAATAGGCGAACCCCGATGACAGCCAGACGCATTTAGTGTCACTACACGACTGTTGACAAGGGATCCTTACGAGTGTGAGAACGTTCCCGCCAAAGTTTTGCTAATAATGCAGAGTGATCCTTTTTTAATTTGACTCAATCTCATGAAGTCCCCTCTTATCAGCGCTGTCATATGTTCCGCATGGCGCTTCAGCAACAACAGGCTCGCAGCAGGGGAGCGCAGGATTAGAAAAAGGATTTCGATGACAGCCTTGCAAAGCAGCCGGCTGTCCCGAGTCTGCTGGCTGAGGATGCTGCGCGCTGGCCAAGGCAGACGCAGGCAGCTGGCATAACTGCCCACTAATTAGCCCATTAAAATGGAGATCCAGGTACAAGAGCGCGGCAATATAAAAATAAACCACGGTCATATCTTAAGCCCTGAGCAACGTCGAAATGGATTTTCTCCGCCCATCTTTTTTCTACACAACTAGAAAATGAAGCTGCATCGAGTGTGGTCGGATGTAAGAGGATTTTATGGCCAATGAAGGCCAGAGAGTACATTTTGGCTTTAATGATGGAAAAATCAAGTTGAATTAAAGAGCACATACTTTAGCATTTTCTAAACATTTCAAAATGCTGTCAATGAAATAAATAAATAAATAAGTAATAAAACTGACAAGGGCCAGTAGTACCAATCTGATGTTTTCAAATGACTTGTTTCATCAGAGCAATGGACAAAGATTCACAGATTCAATGTAATATTATATAAAAATAGAAGACAAAACAATTGTGGGAGATATGATCACGAACTACATTGGAACCTTCAAGGTTGAACACATTTTCCTCATTGGAAGTGTCAGGAATTGAAACGTCTCGTACCAAGATCAAAATGGCCACAAAAAAAAAAACCCTAAACAAAACAAAAACA